GTCCATGGTTCTTAGTTATTATTTAAATACATAAATTTTATTTATTATCTTATGATTTTTATAACAAACAATCAATACGCAGGGGTAAAAAGACCATGTCGTTTGGGTAAATTTTTTTTCAAAAAAAACTTCAAAATTAAAATTACATCGTTTAAGATGTTATCATTTATTTTATTTTGATTTCTTTTTATAGTCTCGAAGAAACTCTCAACTATCGATATCTCAAAAATCTTAAAAAGTTTGTTCTCATCGGCAAATTATCTATTTACCTTCATCGGAGACTTTTCATTACTTTCATCAGAAACTTTCCATCATCCGCATCATATTATCCAGCTTTGTATGAATACAACATATTTTTTCTTTGAATGCTGACAAGTCTTAATAAAAATATATATAATTTTCTTCATTTTTGTATTATTTGTTCTTGAAGTAGTTACTTTTTTGTTATTTTTTTCTTGATTGGATGAATAGGTTCAAACAAACAAACAAAAAAATTACAAACACACCCCTGAGGTTTACTAAAATTACAAATTACTCTTTGTGATTTTAGAAATTATATTATGCCCCCTAAGGTTTCTAATTTCATAACAAATAGGTCATTTTATTAATAAATTATCAAGTTAATTAACAGTTTTAAATAATGTTAAAATTTTATTTCAATTAATAATTCAGATAATTTTATTATTGTATAGGTAAATAGTTATAAATTTCACTTTTTCAATTAATTCTTTTAAATAAAAAATTCTGATAGGGATGTATTTGTAATTTTTCAAATCACAGGAGGCAATTCGTATTTTAAGCAAATCTCAGGGGGGTGTATTTGTAATTTATCCAAAAAAAATATAAATCAAATTAGGTAGATATCATTTCTTCTCTCGCGCTACAAAATTAAGAACTATATAGTAAAGTGAGATGATAACATTTACCTGTAAAAAATTAATGTACATGTAACTATAATAATAATGCGGAATTGAACTATACAAGATATTGAATTCAATACATCTCAAGAATAAAAGGAACATACATTTGTCAGCCATTGAATTAGAGAAGTTGAGAAAATACCCCTAATAGTTGAACCTTGAATTCTTGGTTTACCTTCTTCTCTCTGTCTCTCTTAATTAGGATGACTATAGAACTTAAAGTGATGGTAAAATACTCATATTATGTAAGGAAAGTCACCTATCTTTATATAGAGGAGAGAAGAGGGCCAGATAAACTTTATCAGAAGAATTCCTGTCCATCAAGGTTTCCTTCTTATCTTAGAAGAGTAATTATCCCACATTTAAAATTCTAATTACTAAACTTTATCTCAGATATTGGCTTTATCTAGTTGTGGAGTCCAAATAAAATAAAACATGTAAAGATATGTATGCTATTGGGTCACACCAAAGAATAAATCCAACATTCTCCCACTTGGCCCATTAAGCCGATTGTGATGCAGCTATGAGGCTTTTTTTTTTTTTTTTTTTTTTTTTTTTTTTTAAATATGCAATTTATAAAAATTTTGACTAATTGGATTCCACACTAAAAATTTTAACATGTGATCACGAAATTTTAAAAATAGCCAATAAGTTCAGATATATTAGAGACTACAATACTGTGATTACTTCGGATCACCAATGTGAGTCATAACGATTATATAACATCTATGTCATATTTCATTCTATACACCACACCATTGATAACCTTCACTAACCCAGTCCATTATCGAGATATGTAATTATTCGCCTGAAAGGCCTCTATAATTTGTCTTGTTAAGACGTTTCCTATTTATCAATATTCAAATTGATGTGTACACACACTTTTAGAACGGGAAAAATAGAAACAATACTATTATTGCGCAAATAGTGTCAAATAAAAATAAGCACTCAAGATTAACTATACGCAGCATGGGTTGCTTAAAAGACCTATCCTGATAACATGCTCTTTGTATGTCTTTGGTGGTAATCCCTTTGTGAATGGATCAGTAATTATAAGAGAGGTGCTTAAGTTTTCAACTAACACTTGTTGTTTATGGACCCTTTCTCTAACAACTAAGTACTTTACTTCCATGTGTTTGGAACCACTGGAGTATTTTCCATTCTTAGAGAAGAAAACTGTTGCGGTATTGTTACAATATATCTTCAGCAACCTGGTAATTCAGTCAACAATACCAAGTCCTGAGATGAAATTTCGCAACCATAAAGCATGATTTATAGCCTGAAAGCATGCCATAAACTCAACCTTCATAGTAGATGAAGCAATAGTGGACTCCTTCACACTCTTCCATGAAATTGCTCCATTAGCTAGTAGAAAAACAAAACCTGATGCAGATTTTCTACTATCAAGGCAACCGGCAAAATCTGAGTTTGAGGATCTAGTCACTTTCAACTGTTCTAATCTCACATAGGTGAGTGCACAGTCCTTTGTTCCCTGAAGATATCTCATAACCTTCTTCACTGTTTTCCAATGTTCCATTCCAGGATTACTTTGGAATCTTCCCAACATTCCAATTGTAAAACTAATATCTGGCCTCCCTACTGCTGATACATATGAAATGTCCTTCATTTTTTTTCTTTCTAAGTCATTCCTTGGACATTGTTTTTGACGTAATTTATCACCCTTAATGATGGGTGAATCACTGGTTGAACAAAACTGCATATTGAATCTCTCCAAAACACAATCAATATATCATTTTTGAGATAGTCCTAGCAATCCTCGAGATCGATCCCTAACGATCTCTATGCCGATAACATAGTTTACCTCACCTATATCGACCATTTTAAAGTTTTTGGAGAGATATTCATTGGTTTCATGCAATAAACCAAGGTCATTACTAACTAATAAAATGTCATCCACATATAGTACCAAAATAATGAACTTACTCCCACTAACCTTCAGATTTATGCACTGATCAATTGCATTTTCCTTAAATTTGAAGGAGGTAATGGTATCATTAAATCTTAAATACCATTGCTTGGAAGCTTGTTTAAGGCCATATATGGATTTCTTTAATTTGCAAGCTAAATGTTCTTTACCATTCTTTACAAATCCTTCTGGCTGCTCCATATAAATTTCTTCATCCAAATTCCCATTTAGAAAAGCAGTTTTCATATTCGTTTGATGCAACTCTAAGTCATAATGAGCTACCAATGCTACGATGATTCTAAAAGAGTCCTTCTTAGATACCGGAGAGAAGGTCTCTTTATAGTCTATGCCTTCTTTTTGAGTAAAACCCTTGGCAACAAGTCTGGCTTTAAATCGTTCGATATTGCCTTTTGCGTCGTGTTTGGTCTTGAAGACCCATTTACACCCGACCCTTTTACAATTATTAAGCAATTCGATGAGATCCCAAACAACATTCTGTTCCATGGATTTTGACTCTTCATTTATAGCATTAACTCATTTGGTAGAATCATCACTATTCATGGCTTGTAAAAATGAGACTGGATCTTTGTTAATCCCAATATCAAAATCAGATTCTTGTAGATACACCATGTAATCATCTGGAATGGAAGGCTTTCTTTCCCTCTAAGATCTTTTCAGAACTGCAGGTTGTGGTGGTTCTACAATATTTTCAATGGTGGTATCTTTATAAAGTGGTGAAAACATGAGGTGTTGAAGGATTTTCATTATGTTGTTCGTTTCTCTCAGCTTGTGGAATAGTCAGAGGAACAACAATTTTTCGATAAGGGTCAAATGTTGGCACATCTACCCTAATTTCCTTGAAATTCACCACTCTTGTTTTCTCACTCCCACTAATTTCACCATTCTCTAGGAATCTAGCATTACCAGTCTCCACCAATGTAAACAAACCCGAACTGGACCGGCCGGTCGAACTGGTTGAACCGGGACTCGAGCCTGGTTCTGGTCTGGCAAAACCTGTAAACCCAAAGCAGGCCTAAAACCGTTCTTAATTGATAGAACCGGATGGACCACCGGTTTAACTGGCAAAACTGGTGAACCGGCCGAGTTATGAGGAACCGTCCGGGTTGGTTGCACTTATATATAGCACTAAAAAAATCTAATTTCTAGGGCTCCAAACAGATTCAGCTTGTCTCTCTCTCTCAACTCAAAAGGGTGTCGATGCCATCGGCCTTCCTCTCTGCAGATTGTTGGTGAACGGAGGACACAAATCTGGCGAGTACTTTGACGACCTCTGCTGCTTCTCTTTCTCTTCCCCTTCTCTTCCTCTTCTGCTGTGGTTGCTGGTCTCTATTTCTCTCCCCTTTCTCTTCATCTTCGCCTTTTTTTGCTTCTCTTGCTTGCTGGTTTTTTTTAATCTTTTTTATTTTATTTTATTTTTTTTTCTGGTGTGAGTAGATGTAGAGCTTTATATTCTTCTTTGTTTGTTTATGATGAAATTTTATTTTGTGGGTATCTATCTTGGCTTTTCATTACGAATATATATAAATTTTAGGATGAAATTTTGTTTGTTTCAGTTCTCATAGCAATGCTTAGATTGCAGCTGAAAAAAAAAAATGTAGCTGAAACAAAAATATATATATATGAACAAAAAAAAATGTTGAGCTACTGGTTGTTGATTTGTTCCTTCCTCGTCAATAATGAGTGAGGCCACCAACGTGGGCTCAATTGCAGGTGAAACAAAAAAAAAAATTATGCTTCTTAGATGATTCCTTGTAATGGGGCAAAACAAATTGTTAGAATAGAATATTGGAAATGTTACAAAGCTAGTGATTATATAGTGCAATTTCATGCAATTTTTTATAATAAATTCTGATTAGAATAGAATAGAATATTAGTAAATGTATAATATAGTGATTAGAATAGAATAATAAAATTCTAATTTCATGCAATTTTTTTATAATAAATTTATGATTACAAATATTAGTAAATGTATTATATAGTGCTGTTTTAAGTGAAATGGATTCATCTGGCCATAATTCAACAGCACTCTCTAATGCCCCATCATCAACAAGAGGTAAATTTGATCCAGCATGGGACCATGTAACTGAGGCGTGAGCTTCCGATGGGAAGAAAACTTTAACATATTTGTATTGTGGGAAAACTATCAAAGGTGGAGGGATTAATAGAATGAAGCAACATCTTGCAGGAAAGTTTGGTGAGGTTGGGCCATGTAAGAAAGTTCCAGGTGATGTTAGGTATCGAATAGAAGAGGCTTTGAAAGCAATTATTGAGAAAAATAAACGAAGTGAGGAATCTAATCCCTTTGGTCGGGTTGTTTTTGAGTTTGAGGATGATGCTGAAATTGAAGAAATAATTCCACAACGCAATAACGGCATCTTAATTAATGAAGGTGGTGGTAGTAGGAATAAAAGTAAAGCAACAATGACACAAAGAGGAAGAGGAAAAGAAAAGGAATCTACAAAAATTGATAATTTTTTTGCACTAAAGACCACTCCGGGCTCTCAACCAACTATCAAAAGCGCCCTTGCTACTAAAGAAGCTGTACATATGGCACATATGATTGTGGAAAAATTTTTGTATGATACATGTGTTCCAATGAATGTTGTCAATTCCATATCTTTCAGCCCATGTTTGATGCTGCAATCGCCATTGGTCCAGGATATAAAGTTCCTACTTACCATGAAGTTCGAGTTCCGTTATTGAATGACTCAAAGAAAGAGCTTCAATTGTTTATTGACTCTATAAAGAGTACTTGGGCTAATACTGGGTGTACAATTATGAGTAATGGTTGGACTGATGGTAGACATAGAACTCTCATTAATTTTCTTGTCTATTGTCCTAGAGGAATCACTTTTGTTAAATCCATTGATGCCTCTGATGTTGTAAAAGATGCTCCTCTTCTTTTTAAATTGTTTGAAGAAATTATTGAGTGGGTGGGAGTGAGCAATATTGTGCACATGGTGACAAATAATGGGGCAAATTATGTTGCTGCTGGAAGACTTGTTAGTCAAACTTATAAGAATATTAATTGGTCTCCTTGTGAAGCACATTGTTTGAACTTAGTGTTAAGTGATATTTCCAAGTTGAATCATGTAAAAGAGCTTGCCTCTAGAGCATCAAGTGTGACGAGATTTATTTACAATCGCCCATGGTTGATAGCTTGGTTGAGGAAAAGGAAGGGATGGACTGAAATTGTGCGCCCAGGAGCAACCCGTTTTGCCATTACTTTCATTGCATTGCATAGTATTCAAAAACATATGCATGATTTGAAAGCCTTAGTGACAAGTAAGGATTTTGTTGATTCAAGGCATGCAAAAGACAAGAAAGCAAAAGAAGTTGTTGCTATCATTTTAGATAGTAAGTTTTCAAATGATTGCTTGATCATTGTTAAGATTGTTGAGCCACTCATGAGATTGTTGCGTATTGTTGATGGAGATAAAAAACCTTCAATGGGATATGTATACGAGGGCATGTACAGGGAAAGAATAGCAATTAAGAATGTTTTCATGAAGAAAAAACGATTGTACAAGCCTTATACAAGTATTATCAAAGATCATTGGGATAGGACATTACGCAAAAATATCCATGCTGTGGCTTATTGGTTGAATCCGACTTTTCAATATGATCAATCATCATTTTGCAAAAAACCAGAGGTTATGGCAAGCATGCTTGATGTGATAGAAACAAAAGCTACATGTAGCAAGACAAAACTCTTGGATGAAGCAAGATTGTTTCGAGATCAATTAGAAAGTTTTGGAAGAGAGCTTGCTACTATTACATCCAAGACAACACAACTAGGTAAAATTATGTATTATAGTTGATTTTTTTTTCCATTATGATTGCTTAGTAATTCTTTAAGTGTGATATTAGATCTAATTTATTTATTTCTTCTTTTCTTTTAATAATAAGATGAATGGTGGAGGTTATTTGGCCATAGTACTCCAAATTTGCAAAAGTTTTCTATTAGAATTCTTAGCCAAACTAGTAGCTCTTCTGGATATGAAAGGAATTGGAGTGTTTTTGAACGTATACATACGAAGAAGGGGAATAGATTGGAACATCAAAGGCTTAATGATCTTGTATATATTCATTATAATTTGCGGTTGAAGAATAGGTAAATGAACCATTTACCTTGTCATGCATTTTCTAATAGAATATTTATTCAAGTAGTCTTACTTTTAAGTGAAAATTATAGGCATTTCAACAAAATGAAGAACTACGATCCGGTTGAAATTGAAAGTATTGACAAAACCGAGTTTTGGATTGTTGAAGATGAAGAAGAGCCTCCTCTTCTTGATTTTGATGAGTTGGAACAAATGCCTTATCAAGAAATTCCGGCTCCATAAAATAAGAGGCAATGTAATGGTCTACGTGATGGTTAGTAATTAATTATTTCATTATTATATAACAATGTTTTTGTTATTATTAAATTGATTACTTATTGATTTTGTTGTAACCATTGTAGAAGATGACGAGGATGATGTGGTCCTAGAGGTTGGAGATGATATTGACCTTGGATCATTTGGTGATGTCAACATGGATGATAGATCTAATGCTCAAAGTGGTGGAGTTGGCACAAGCAACAATGAAAATGAGGATGACGATGCTTGGCTAATGGAGGGTTTGCTAAGAAATTAGGCAAAAAAACAATGTTTTTGTGGCATGATGTGTTTGTTTGTAGTGGATTGGTTTTCAATTTTTTTTTTTTTTTTTATATTTATTTATCTACTTTCATTTAGGAAGGATGAATGCTCATTATTGTGTTTTAAGATTTGGAATTATAGATCTTATCTCTATGCTTGCTTGGTTTATGTTTGTGTTTGACATTTGATTCTTAATTGATGTAGTAAACTATAGTATTTTTATGTGATTATGTTTGTGTTTTTATTTGACAAACAGGTAATATTAATTGCTTTTAGTATAATGCTTTTATTATTTTCATTATTATGATTGTATTTATAATATGTTCTATTTTCTAACTTTGATATATGTGTAGATTTTGCAGTAATTTTTGCTTGTCAAAAGTGTTGCGCAACCCATTTAGAGAAAGGTCTTCAACAAATAAAATAAAGTATGTCACATTATTATTGCAAATTACAATTTCATTGTGAGCGATATTTGAAAATTCTATTATTTTGTTGAATTTAATTTTTTTTTTCATTTTTACATTTATATTTTTAATATATATATTGTTTTAATATATTTATGATGTAATTATGACGTCATGGTTCGACCGCTTCTACCCGGCGGTTGAACCGGTGACTCGTCCACCCGGTCCCTTTTCCGGTTCGCTCACCGGTCCGAGTTTCAAAACATTGGTCTCCACTATCCTCGTACTGTGATTAGGACAACCAATGAAATATCCAAATGTTGTTCTTGAGTCCAACTTTTTCTTTTGTAGATTGAAAATTCTTGTCTCTATTAGACAACCCCAAATATGTAAGTGTCTCAAACTAGGTTTCCTACCAGCCCACAACTCAAAAGGTGTTGTTGGGACCGCTTTACTAGAAACCCTATTTAGGATATACATTGTAGTCTTTAAAGCTTTACCCCACAGTGAAATGGGTACAATTGAGTAACTTAACATACTCCTAACCATATTTTTAAGTGTACGATTATGCCTTTTAGCAACTCCATTCTGCTATGGTGTACCAGGCATTGTATATTGAGCACGAATGCCTTTATTTTATAAGAATTTGGCAGAAGATCGGCCTCTACTAACCATGATATCTTGTTTTGAAAACATTATGCGTTCTTATACCGGTTATTAGCCTAGAATTACTATGTGATGAGTACAGCAAAACAAGTATAGACTAAATTGCCTAAGTCGGAACTAAGCATCGCATTTCCGTTTGTTTGGAAAATGGTTTGAATTTTGCTATTCGCGAGTAGGCTAAAATACGGATTTCGATGAATTATCCCAATTCAAACAATCCAACCTTCACCCACAGGCATTCATGCAGTTATATCACATAAGCATATAGCCACATGGTAAACATGCTATCACGTTAACATTCACACTCATGCGAGATGCTAAAGCATAAATACTTACATCGTACTCCGTGCCAAAACAGTGAACTAGTTAGTAATCATATGCATGATCCTAATTCATGTTAAGGTGGCTAATGTATCTCATACAAAATGTCACTAGAATAGGCTCGGCTAATCTATGAATGGCATGTGAGATGCGACAGATAACATGTATTCAAGTTTGATTTGAAATACTATGCAGTTAGTATGATGCGCCGAGCCTGGTGTATGCAATACTGATGAACGATGCACGCATGCATAGCATGAGGATGCTAAATTAAATATGCCCTAGTACTAACCATCAAAGCAGGTAAGTAAAAGGGAGAAAGAAATGGGGGTTGGAAGACATGCACATACGCACCCACACTTATTACAAATTTGCCCTCGCTCGGAGGGACCGAAAGAATAATACAATTTAACTAACTATCAAGCTAATTAAATATTACAGACAATTAACTAGTTAAGCAAATTAACCAAGCTAATTAAGTAGCAAAAGAAGCCTCGAGAAGAGGGCCCAATGCATGTGCGCTCGGTTCCACTCGAAAACCCACCACCATGCACAAGTTTGCCTCTGTTTCCCCTGCTCTGCTCCTCTGAAAATTGCACAACTCCCAAGGTATGCTCTATGGACACTGTGGATCACCACCGACCAAGTGGAAACCCCACCGACCATGTCCGGATGGTCATCGACCATTTGTTGAGCTCTCAGCCATCAATAATTGGTCGGTTGGCACTCCATGTAGTCGACCGGCCAAGTCTTCCTGCAGAACCTGTTTTGACAGCAGCAGAGGGCAAAACAAGGCATGGCAATGTATTTCAAGCTAATGTGTGCACCAACGCATCCCTTATCATGTTTATGACTCAAAGGGGCATGGTACTCGATTCCCGGACCACCAATCGCGCATTTCAATGCGTGATGGCCCAAGAACCAAGTATGCATTTTCAATGTGGAATGACATGCACACAAACAAACAATGAGCTCAACCTCTATCATACTCAATTCAAGAGGCAAAGCATGCATGCCAATGCCATGCAACCTAGGCATGTGAGCTAGTATGCAACATGACAATGCAAACAAACACACAAGGCATGAAGCATCAAGTCTAGCCAACAAACATACAAGATGTAATACGGATGTTGAAGTACACAAACAAGCATGTGATGGGCCAAGTATGCAACAACATACAAGGCTAATGGACATGCAAGACATGATGCAATCAAAGCATGCAAAGTGTAAGACATGTAACAACATGTAAAGAGTGGGGGTGGACTTAGACTAATTTGGGCAGCTCTATACTAGGCCCAAAACAGTGGCCAACATGCTATGGAAATGAAGGACAAATGCACATGCACACATGCATGCAAATGGACCAACACTTAGACACATAGAGACAACTTTTAAGTACACTTAAAAGAGGAAAAACATGGGCATATGGTATGCATTATAAACTTGGAAAACCTGTGGAAGATAATGCCAAATCAAATTGTCAATGCAAGCAAGACATGCAACCAAACCCAAAGACTTAAACTATGGCCATATGACATATGCAGCAAATGACCAAAATGAATCAAAACAGTCCTAAATCATGCAAAAGTAAGGCCCAAGAACCACTTAGATGGCATCTAAATGACCTAATCCTAGAGGCATACACAATAGCACAACATGGGGCATGAAACACCGACCTCTTAACACATTAAAGGGGCATCAAATGCAAGCATACAAGCATACCATGAGGACTGAAATGGCATGGAAAATGGTTCCAAACCACTGAAACAAAGCAAGTAAAGCATGCTCCACACTCACACACTCAAGGCTAACAAGCCAAAATGCAAGGTGGCTATACTAAGCATGTCATGGTCGACCAAAACAACCAAAAACAGAACTTAAGCATGCTTAGACAAGCACAAAAACTTCACAAAGCTAGGCCAAAACAAGTAAGCATATTAGGCTAAATGCTAGACACATGTTAAGGCAAATCATGGCATTACAAGACATGTATGCAAGGCAAGCATGGTGTGTCTAAACCAAGTGAAAACAGAGGTAATATATGGCAAAATACTACCAAATAACACTTAATACATGGCCAACATGCACTTAAAAATGATGCTCACACATGAGGCTATAATGACACATATTGAAGGCAACAAGGAGAGGGGATGACCCTCTCATTCTTAGGACCTTAAAGCACCATCCCCACCACTGAAATCTCTCAAGATTTCAGTGGTGAGGAGGCCCAAACAAGGTGGTCCCGGAGCTCACCAAAATAGCACAAAATGGGGGCCAAACAAGGCCTAAGAGGGGTCAAACAACCCCAAAGCTCAAAGCAACCTTAAACAACTATTTTAAGCAGGTAAAAATAGAACTTTTATATGTTATATGCAAAGTCTAAAAATATTTGCAAGATAGTCAAAAAAGCTATGCAAAAATGGGGAATAAAGGGCAAGGACACTCACCCTTGAAGAACACTTCCAAGATCACAAGATCAGACCTCTTCTTGGATCAAAACCAGCTCAAAAAGTCCAAGATCAACCCTCTAATGCCTCAAAAACTAAGGAAAGGTGTAATGGTAGGTGTTTGTGTGCAATAGTAAGAACAAACACGCACTTAACTCACAAGAGAGGGAGGTATAGAGATACAATAGACACACACTTCTAACACTAAAAACTAGACCTCTGGAGCTTTTTTTTTCTGACCCTAATGGAGGGAGAAGAGGCTCCCTGTTATAGAGATTCACTCTTGCAAAGCTTCCAAAACAAGCTAAGCAAGAGTGAAATCCCTCCATACACGTGTATAGAGGGGAGCAAAGTATATGCCAGCTAGCACAACTGGCATAAAAATATTTGAAAAAGCAGATGTATAGTGGTCGGCCAGCCAAAAATGCTATTTGACCAAAAAGGATGGCCGGTTAACCACAAAGAGTGCCAGTCGACCAAACATTTGGCCGATGGCAACAAACCAATGGCCGGTAGCCTCAAGCCATGGTCGGTGAGGTGTGGGGACGGCCAACAAGCCATTCCCTGCCCTCCAAAGCAAAAACACAAGTGTTTGGTGCAAAACCAGACACAAAACAGCTGAGTTGAGAGATCCTGAGGCAGGGCGCGTAGCCGAGACCTTCGGAAACTCAAGACGAACACAAACAAGGATGATCACCGAGTGTTCAAACGGTGACGTCCAAGTCTTGAGGACGGTCAAAAATGGGGTGTCTACAGTGTCTCAAACTAGGTTTCCAAGCAGTCCACAACTCAAAAGGTGTTGTTGGGACCGCCTTACTAGGAACCCTATTTAGGATATACATTGTAGTCTTTAAAGCTTTAC